GAATAAGTCTGTTGATATTTCACACATGGAAGGGGATGTATACGGGGTGATGTATACAAAAACACCGTATTCTTTTAAAAAGGTGTGTTAGGGCTACTACTTTTTATCCGAAGGACTTTCATAGATTATGGATGCATAAACAACTTTACCGAAAGGCACAGCAGCCCTTTGTGATGTGGTCACTTAATTCAGGCTTTTGAAGACCGTTTTCCTGTGGAAAGTCTGTCGAATTGATCACTTTAGCTCAGAGCCAAGTTAAAACTGAGCTAATTATGAATGATAATATGGGATGGCGTGCGGTAGAGATCATTTACTTAAAGAACTTATTCAGCCTCTACTTGAACTTCAAGTGAACATACTGATCAGAGGACTCGAAAAGAAGCGATAAGGTATATAGACATCGCTCTCACCGCAACCAAAGCAAAACAAGACATTTGAAAATCATTAACGATAGAAGTGATACCCACAGGCGGAAGTCCTTCTGTGCGATTCGTTTTTTTGTCTCCTAATCTGACAGGTCTATTTTATCCAGCTTTGTCTAACTCGTTTGACGTCTTCGTATACTCCAATTAGCTCTGACAGTATCCAGTTCGCCTGCATTTTCTTGCGTTCTTCGTCATTGTCGTCAATCCTCACAGCCATTTTTGTCAACTACTGAAATCTTTGCAATTGTGTTTGTAGGACTTTGTTGGTCATGCTATTTGCCTGCACCAAAGTGAGGACTACAAGACCAAGTGCAGCGCACTGGACTGCATAAAACGAATGCAACTCTACAGCAACTCGCTGATGCGCTACGGCAAGTCCCCCTACCTCTACCCCCTCTACGGTCTGGGTGAGCTGCCACAAGGCTTTGCCCGCCTCAGTGCCGTCTACGGTGGCACGTACATGCTGAACAAACCGTTTGAGGGATTTGTCATGGAGAACGGCAAAGTGGTGGGTGTGAAATCGGAGGGCGAAGTGGCAAAGTGCAAACAAGTGATTTGTGACCCGAGTTACGCGCCTGATCTAGTCCGAAAAGTTGGCCGGGTACGTTTTCTGTTTCAGTCGTCGTCGCCTTAAGCTATTTTCAATTATGAAAACTTATTGTTTCTTTTTTGTTGGTCCCTTTTTAATCGAGGTAGGTTGCCACTTGTGGTAGTACAGTAAGCTTGTTTTTGCACCGGCAAGGAGATACATGCCAAGCGTAGAAGCCAGACCTGTCTGGGGTGTACCAATGGCATTACTGTAAAATATGGACAAGTCTGAGAGTGCTACCGTTGTGTCCTGTGAGGAGACGCGGTTCTTGATCTCACTGCACAGAGGTTTGCTTAAGTTTTCCACTAGTCGATCCTACGGGGACACACCAGCATTAAGTTTTGGCTTCCCGTCAAGACCAGATTTAGGGGGAAAACCCAGTCCATATATTTAATTTCGGCGAAACGAAATATTAGATTTCTGGGTAAGTATTTTATGTCGCAGTTCTTGTCCTAAAATGGCATTACTGAATTCATTTTTTGAAAACATAGATATTATAAGTTTTCAAACCTAGCGCACTTGGTAGTCTGAGTACCTGGAGTTCAAAGTGACCCAAATTAGAATATTCAACCAACTTGATTTTGATAATCTGAATGTCGGTTTTGCATGCTCGAGAGGATGGATTGTGGTTTATTATTCTTGGCATTTTTATGCTACTTAGTTGACCCTCATTACCCTCCTTCGACGGATTCATACTCCCTGTCTCAACTGATTGTTTCGACGGATCGCTTATCTATTTACCGCGTTATTTCTTTCAGGTGGTCCGGGCAATTTGCATCCTAGATCATCCCATTCCAAACACCGCAGATGCCCTCTCGTGCCAGATAATTCTGCCTCAAAATCAAATCGGACGAAAGCATGGCAAGTGCACTTTTAATCCTCGCTAAACATTATTTTAGACATCTACATATCCTGCGTCTCATTCGATCATAAGGTCGCGGCTGAGCGTTTCTTCGTCGCGATGGTTGCCACCATTGTCGAGACCGACAATCCCCCACGTGAATTGGCGGCTGGCATTCGTTTATTGGGTCCGATGAGGGAGTGCTTTGTCAAGGACACTGACCTTTATGCACCAATCGGGCCCGGTACCGATAATCAGGTTTGTGTACCATTTGATTTTCATCTACAACTGCATCTGTTATCAGTCGTTTTTCTTTTTTTCGGCTGTACATTTCTTCGGAGTAAACCACGCTATTTTGTGTTTAAGGACAACCATGCCTTTTGTAACTCTCTCCACAGCGCTTCCGGTTCGCCGGTTCCGCAATTTTTTTTCTTATGTCTCCAAGCTCGAACTTTAACCTTTGGTTGCTTCGAGCCCCTTAGTCATCTCATCAGGCTTGAAACCCGGCGCACGTGGGCGCATCCTTATTTGGCTCGATTTTTTGCCTTGTTACAGTCCTTGCCAGCAAGTGCAATTATTTTAGTTCTCACTTTGTGATTGATTGTTACTCGTTCGACCATA